CTCCCTCTTTACTTCCCTGTCTTTTTATGTATGTATGTGTATTTGTGTATAACCAGAAATTCTTATATAAGCAGGATCATTTGATGCTAAATGAAGTAACTATAAACAATATGTGTACTTTTATACATATCCAACAGAAATGTCTAAATGTCTATGTCCATCAAAAGATATGTACAAGAAATTTCTTAACAGCTTTCTTCATAATTGTCAAAAACTAAAAACATTCATTGCAGCCATCAATGCAGAATGGGTTTTTAAAATGTAGCTATTTATGGTAAGTAGCAATGAATAAGACCAAATTACTATATATAACAAATGGGTGAAACAGGCACATGAATAATGAGCAATGGAAACTAGTCACAAAGTAAGTATATAGGTATTTGTGCTTTTTACTTAACGTTCCATTTAATTAATTTTGAAAGCAGGGAGCCCAATCTGTGATGACACAGGTAAGAACGTAGTTGCCTTTGGTGGTGGGGAGATGGAGAGAATGTTACTTAGAGAGGGAAAGGCAGAAATTTCCAGGGTGCTGAAAGCATTGAGTAGTGGGTACAAGAATATATCACATTCCCAAGTTCATTAAACTGTACATTCAACATTTGAGCATGTCCCTGTGTGCTCATTATATCTCATAGAAAAAAAGTTTTTTTAAATGAGTTTGACTGTAGGATCTCTTTGATTTTTTTCAATTAGTTGGAACTTGAGAGTAATAAGCTTTTCTGCACATGCAATCAAAAGTATCCTGAGACTATGGGAAGTTGCTCAAAGTATAATGATGAGTATTGATAAAAAGACAAACTAAAAGCTCAGTTACAATTTTTAAATGAGTCAAATATTTTTCTAAATATTTATAGTCAACGTCAGTCAGAAGTGATTCACCACGTTGCAAACCCAACATCTCCAAAATAAGGTTGGTTATCTCTGCTATCCATTTCCTCCTGCCTTCTATAGCTCCACTAAGGTTCCACCATTCATTCATCCATTCATTCATTCATTCAAAGTCAGACACATAGGAACCATCCTGGACTCTTACAGCAAAATCAACCCTCTCTCATACCAAGCAATTTCCAACTCAGTTTCCATGAAATTGATGTCTCTATGACATTTTTTCTACCACAGTTCAGTTTCCACTATTTCTGGCTTAGAGTAATACAGTTGCTCCTTACTAGTCTCTACCTCCTTGCCAGACTGCTCTTTTCACATCTGGCTTTGATTCTATGATTGCTCCACTTGGAATTTTTCAGCAACTTCCTATTACCTTTAGGCCCAGATTCAAATTTTTAAACATACCCCAAATAAGGGAACACCTGCCTACCCTTCCACCTTGTCTTCTCACACCTTTAGATAGCACAGTGTTTGGTCACTTTTTTATTCTGCTCCCACCTGCTGACTCCTGTCACTTCTATCAGTACCTTACTCTTTTATTCTAACACAAGGCGTTACCTCACTTTCCTCAACACTTTACCTCACTTTACCCCCGCACCCTGCAACACTGGGTTAGTTATCCACCCTTCTACATGCTGCCCTATGTCTTAATCTGAGAAGCTAAGAACAGCATACAGGTTGTTGTACAAAGATGTATACTCCCAGTACTGTGAAATATAAATAAAGTGGTGACTACAGTGTTGACCATGGATTTCCACTGTCCAGTGCAGAGTCTACATGTTACCAACTACTCAATATGTAGTTCTTGAATGAATAAATGAGCAGATCAATAAAAACAATGTGCACGTGATACACTTACTGAGATAGGTTAGACCTCTACTGCTGCCTGCCTAATGCTGTCTTTGGGCCTTAATCATCAGCATTATAAAATGACAGGGGAGGCATAAGTTAAAGTTCCAGACAGATGCAGCAAAAAGAAACCATCGTCACTGTTAAAATATTCTACAATAGAATGAGCAACAGATTTTACCTCCATTTTTGGAGAGGCAAGAGCAACTTAATCACTTAGAAACCTTGACTCTCATATATCTCCATATTGAATAACATAAATATCATAAAATTAACTTTTATTTTCTGAAGCCATGGTGTGAAAGAACTGTTAATGTAACTAATTAAATGATTTTAAGGCTTTGTTGGGGAGGAAATTTTCTCTGATGAATTTCCTAGGTGATTTTTTCATAACTAATTCAAATGTGCTATGAATACTCAAATTTTATATTGTAGAAATATGCTGCATGAGTTCAATAAAAACATGAGTTTGAGGAGAAAGATAGAACCCACTAAAGGGGCAGTGATTCAAGTTTTTTTTTGTTAATCTGGTATTCAAAATGACTGACTTCTAGTATCAGAATGATCAATTCTTAGGTTTAATTTTTTGCATCCTCACCAAGAGTACACTGGCAAAGCTTATTAATTTACAAATATAAACACAGGAGATGGCAACATTCAGACTACTGGACTACTCTTTTACGATTAATTATAATTAATCTTCAACACTTCTGAATTCTAACTGACATACCAATGGATATTAAGAGAAAGATATCAAAGAATACAACATATCTAGTCTTATCACAGAAACAGCTCTCAAAACTCATCAGCTCTTAAGCCTTCATTTATTTAAGCTCCTCTAGAGCAGTGTCTGAGGGTGAAATCTGGAGCCAGAAGGCAAGGATCAATCTTAGCTCTACAACTTGTTAGCTCTGTGACCGCATGCAGGTCACCCCACTTGCTGTTTCAGTTTTCTCATCTGTAGAGTGAAAATAACAGCACATCTATCTCTTGGGCAATAGGAAACATTAAATGAGTTAATCTATGTAATGTGCTTACTAAGAGTTAGCATTTGCTGCTCTCTAGTGTGGCTGGATATAGTGGTGAATAAAGACAGTTCCTGCCCTGTGGGATTGTCACACCAGTAAGTTATGTATTCATAAATCTTAAGCGATAGTAGGCCTCAAAGTGATCAGCAATTAGATTTTGAGGGCCAGGAAAAAGTAAACTAATATTCAGCATTTTGCAGAGTAATATGAGTTTTCTACTAAATAAATTTAAAAAATGGAAAGGTATTAAGAGTGGGCCCTCCTGATCATAAACATAAACACTATTACAAAAGCAGTGAACTTACTGTACCAAAAGATCATAAATACAAATTCATGATTATTTGTAAGACTGAATAAAAAAACTGTGATGTAATGAAGATAACAGGAATGCAAACCAAGTGCAATCATTGAAAATGACTATTGCAAACTCTAGGCCTTACATTCTTTGGCAAGGTCAAATTACAACTGTGCAGTGGGGTCAATTAAATTTTTATGATACCTAATTATAGGTTACAACTTCTTGAGGAGGTCTCTCAGAATTTAGCTTCTCTTTATTCACCTCAAAGAACAGCCTAATTAATTACTAAAACAATAATAACCATTTACTGGGAGGTTATTATATGTCATGAAGTACACATTATTAATCAAACATTCACTTAAGTGTGCTTCAGTTGTTAAATCTCTCATCTAAAAAGGACCTTATTCCAGCAGCTCAACCACTTGGTATTTTATATTTATGCTGCAAGGAAATTTTTGGACTTAGCTTATAAAAACATCAAAATAAAAGCAGGTAATTTTTTGGTCAGAAAATAATAATACCTTTGATACCTTCACTAATGTCAGTCAATTTTAAGTAAATATAAATTATAATTAAACAAAATCAATGTTGTAGAAATTCATTATTTTAAGAAATACGTATAAGCATTTTCTTAAAGGAATGGATAATAATCATAATGCTACTTCAGTAACCTGCTCTGCCTGCAGAAGCAGGGACTCTATGAAGCAACAGTCAACAACAAAGTAGCAACTATCAATAGCATAACCAAAATATCAACTTCCCTTGCCCTGTGAACCTTCTTAAACACAAAATACGCTTAGGACCAGTAGTCATCATGCAAAAGATGAATTCTCCCTGGATTTCTTTTCCTATTCACATTATGATATCAAGAATTCAGGTCTCTTATGTATTATAAATATACATGGTCTGATAACTATCAAAACCTAAAACAACTCAATCATTAAAAAAGCAAAGATGAGTTGAGGTATAATTAAAAATATTCTTTGATGATAAAAGATATTTCTTTCACAAAATTTAGTGTTTCCAGTGTATCTTGGCAGGTACAATTCTATCTACCATCAATAGTAGTAATGCACATAATGCTACATGATGCAAAATACACAGTAAGCACAATGTAAAAAATAAAGAGCAAAAGATGAAACAATAAACATGAAACAGAGGAAAGAAAATAAAAATAAAGCACAGAACTGAGAAGAAATACACTGGGGGAAGAAGTAAGATATGCAAAACTCTCTTATTATAACATTCTTTCCCACTATGAGAACAGAAAGCTTAAATATTAATTTCTGACTGCTAGTTTTAGTTTAAGTCATCTATAAAATGCATTTTAAAGCACAAAGCTTAGCTGAAATACTGTTCCTATTATTTAAATTTGCTGATAATGAGAGGGGGCATGTGAGGGAAGGTAGGCGAAACAGAGGTGGACTTCACACAGTGGGCAGAACAGGAAGACTGTGGGGTCAGGACAGATGCACTAAATGCATTTGGGGCACCAAATGAGGCTCTCAAAGAAGATGGGTGGGGAGGGAAAGGAAAAATGTCACAAGTTCACATACTATTAAACCCTCATCTTAAGGCAATTCTCATTCCATATCCTCCATCAAATAGCCTATGTACCAAAAAAAAGGAAAACTGAAACCCAAAAACCCTAACAACTACTACCACCATCTGTAATGACAAAAATCATATAATATTTTGATTATTAGTACTTGAAAATCATAGCTCAAAAACATGTACTAGGACTAAGACTGGTTTATTTTCTACTACTTTGGCTCGACTGATCAAGACACAAAAATTTATTTTTAAATTTAGATACAATTAATCCTTTCAGGATTTTTATTCTTCATAGGTTTATTTCACATAGCCAGTATGAATATCAACAGCAAATTTTAAATTAAACAAAAATAGGAAAAGGCAACACATCTAACAAAATGTCATACCTGGAGGTACTTCCTGTTCTTCTGCATGGGACACAGGTACATCTAAAATAGATAAACAAGTTACAACCCATTATATACTGCTGAATGGTATTTAAAGGTATTTAAGATAAACTCAAGCTTGCTGGTATTTAAGTCACAGTGATTCTTTTTCATGATTTTTTTGGTATACCATTGCAACTATAAAAATATTAAGTTTATATGCCATTTCAATAAAGAAATATCAATAACTTTGCAAAAGGTTATATATTTCTCAACTATTCTGCACAATAGGTTTTACGTTATCTGTCTAACTGACCTCAAAATTTACTGCCTGGCAAAAGAGATATGAAGTAAAACCTAGGTTTTCACCACAATTTTGCATCATATTTGATTAGATAGTTGAGGAAAGAAATTTAAAATGTGTTTCTTCTTAATTTTTTACCCTATTACTCTAGTTTTTTTAACTTATTTTTATTTATTTATTTATTTAATTTATTTATACAAGCACTGGGGTACAGTCAGAAGCGCGGGAGGGTGAGAGAATTCACCAGAGCCAGAGCGGGGAGCAGAGCAGGCAGAAGGACTGAAGCACACTGCTGAGGGCAGCAGCGGGCAGCAGGGGAGGTCTGCATGCCATGTGGGACCCTCCTCCGGTGGCTGGGGGGCAGCTGGGGATCGCACTGGCGCTGCAGAGGCTGCGGGCAGCTTTGCAACCCAGCGCTCAACCACTGTGCCACTGGGGAGGCCCTATTACTCTAGTTTTAATGTGAATGAAACAAGAAGTTAACTTGAAATACTTAAAAAAAAAATCACTATTCTAAATATTCTGAATATTTACTTAAAAAGGAAAGCTATCTTAGAATACTAAGAACAGCCAAAAGATGTGGAAATGAACTTTTAACAACTTACCTCTTTCCTTGGCTGTTTCAACCCACTACAACTGGAGATTGCAGACCTCACCACCATTAACCACATATTCATCTGGTTTGCGCAAACTATACCATCTACTGGTGTCTTCATACCTAACAATCCTTTTAGCATTGCCTTAATCCAGAGATAAGATTTTATCAGCTTTCCTCTTGCATCTTAAGATTTGTAACAGACATCGGTAAAAAGAAGGAATTTAAACAACATTTTCTAAAACTCAAAATATGTAAGTGCTATTTTAATCATTTTTCTTTTGTATTAAATTGTTTCTAGTTATAAGAATGATACGATGCTCAAAATAGAGCATTTGGGAATATTTTGCATAAAAGTAAAATTACACATACTCCCAATGATTACTATTAGTATGCTGGCATATTTCCTTCTGTTATTAGCAACACAGTGTTTACTAGCTTTCTGTTTTGTAACTGGCTTGTTACTAGTAATTGGCTTGTTACTAGTTTGCCTATTGGTTCTTAATAATTTGGAGACATGTCAACACTCTACTAATATTTGTCTCAGGATTTCTTTTACTTTTTCATTTTTGGTACATTTGAAAAAATTACTTGCATCATTTAATGACTTCCCATTATTATTTCCATAATTGATGTTATACTAAGAAGCCTTATTATTGCAAGATAAATGTTCATTATTTCTATTCTGGAAAAATTTCATTTAACAAACCCATCTAAAACTTACTTCAGTAACGATGTAACAAAAAGATTTTTAAAAAGGAAGTAATACTAATTAAACATTATCAGTGCAACTTGAAAGGGCTGCCTGTTGACATAGCACATTTTTCTTACTCCAAGACTACTTAAAACCACTAGGCTTTCATGCCAATCAATTTAATCACATAGTTTTTGCTAAGATCTCCAACAATCTCCACAAGGCCAAATATAATATTTATCATTCCTTAAATTCCAAAGGCAGTAGCACAAAACACATTCTCTCTTTCCTCCTGCTCTTTCACATTCTTCTCTGCTGGTTTTCTTCCTGCCTCCCTGGTTGTTCATGTTCACAGGAGCTTACAAAGTTGGGAATCCTCAGAGCTCAGTTCTGGGATGCTGGAATACTTTTTCTATACTCACCTCCAAAATGATTTTATCCATTTCCATGAAGTTAATGCCATTCTCATGAGGATAGCTCCTGAACATTTATATCCATCTTAGATCTTGCTCAGCTAGTTCTGTCTGACATGTCCACCTGGGTATCTCACACAACTCCCAAAGTGAAAGTATCTAATACAAAGGCCTTTTATTTTCTTCCCTAAACCAGCTTCTCCTTCATGTTACTTTTTCTTCTCTATATATGGCACCATCATCAAATCAAAGGCCCACTCTGTTCTTCGCAATAACCAGAAACTTCCATGAGTTGTAATTCTAGAGTATATCTTGAGCCAAAATTGTCCCCTCTCTATTCACTGCCATCTATATTCACAGCCACCATTCCCTCAGGTCACCATTATCTCTTCCCTGAATTAGTACGCAATAATTCCCTAACGGAGTGGCCTCTGCTTCTATTTTTACTCCATCCAATCTATTCTCTTAACCAGTCGGTCATGAAGAAATTCAAAGAGTAATTCTATGAGCAAAATTCCCAGTTACAGGTCCCTCTAGCAAACTGCTGCTGGTAAAGCACATGGAACACCGTGTCAACAGCAGGTGCCAAGCCAGGACTGAATACCAGTTTAGGCACTTCTAGCCACATAATCAGGGACCAGCCACTTGCTCTAACTCCATTTGCAAGTACACAGAAATTTGCCCTACCTCCCATTCAGTGTCTATTTTGAGGAACAACTGATATAACAAATTATGAAAGGACTTTGCAAACTGTTAGGACTATAAAAATCCAAGTTGTGTCAAAGCACCAGTATTAAGTATAGGCCACAGCTTTTACTTTTCAAACCATCTCTTTACTTTCAAATTTTTTTTTTCAGTTGACCACCATAAAGGACCTAACCTTCAACCCATCTCTGACCAAGGCTTACACCTTCTCACAAAATCACCTCTTCCAATTTAGGGTAGCCCACCTCATATAATCAGTTCTTTTCTATTTGTTTTTATCTCCATCATTGCACTTTTCATAATTCTTAATCACTTTATCATTCATTTGACCACCAGAATGCCATCCCCAATGAAAACAGAAATTCCATCTGTCTTATTTACTCCTGTTTTCCAAGCCTTTGAGCATCATAGAGAAAGCAGAGTGCTAAATAAATATTTGTTGATTAAATGGAAATTAAAATTTCCTCTATAAAATTAACTCACCTTCTAAAATTATGTTTGAATCTTCTACAGCATTATCTAAAAAGAAAAAAAAAAGGCAAAAATCTTTACAACCAACTCAAATGCCTATTTGGCTCTTCCTACAGAGACAAGTATTTCAAATAGAAGACCCACTTTAATTTCTAAATTACATTAAAAGACTCTAAGATAGGTTGGTAATATCCCTGTTTACCTAAAACGTGCAACATAGGTAGGGAATAAATAAACTGACAATATCCAATTATTTTCTAGGTAACTTGAAAATGTCTGATAATTCTCAGACCATCTATCTTTTTGGGACAAGTTAATGTCTTCTAACAAATACAGGAGGGGATGACTTACAGGAAACGTGCTAAGAAAAAAAAAAAACAACTCACTTGAATTTTCTCTTCCTTCATTTTCTGGCTCATATACTATAAAATACACAGAAAAAAAAAGTCCTTTACCATTGCATAACTCTCATTATCACACATTGGCTTAACAGTTCAAGAGCAGAGACAATGTCAAATTTATCCATGAACTGACCAGCAGGGTGGGGAAGGGTTTGGTCTTCAGTCAAACAACTCTGAATTCAAATTTCAGGTTAGCCACTTTCTAGTCACAGAGATGGGTGATTACATATACTTCTTTCCCATAAAATGGGGAAAATTAAAACTTCTCCTCTATCATGTGTTACTAGGATCCAACTGCAGGTAGCAATGGATTTCCACTGTTTGTTTTCTTCATGTCTGCGGTAGAAGTTCAGAGTTACCCAGGGTCTACCTGATTGTTACTCTGAATTCAAGTTTTCACCAAGCCAATTCTCTGGTTCATCTGCAACATTTTCAGGTCTCTAACCTGGGGGCAAATACTCCTGCTTTTAGTACCTTACAACAAAGAGTCAGCTGCAGACTCTTAATTCACTCCTCTAATAACACTTCACTGCCCATTTCTTTCATTACCAGCCCTGGACTTAATGTTCCCCTGCTCCTGTCTCTGCAGCAATTCTCTCACACCTAGTTTGGTTACAGCATTATTTTGAAGAGCAGTGGTGAGAGAGGACATCCTTGTCTTGTTCCTGATCTTAAAGGAAAGGCCTTCAGCTTTTCACCATTGAAAATAATATTAGCTGTGGGTTTGCTATATATGGCTTTTATCATGTTAAGGTATGTTCCTTCTATCCCAAGAATTTCAAGGGCCTTCATCATAAATGGATGCTGGACTTTGTCAAATACTTTCTCAGCATCTATTGATAAGATCATATGGTTTTTCTTTTTCTTTTTGTTGATGTGTTGGATTACACTGATCGATTTTTGTATGTTGAACCATCTTTGTGCCCCTGGGATAAATCCCACTTGATCGTGATGTAGTATCCCTTTGATGCATTGTTGGATGCTGTTGGCAAGGATTTTGTATTTTGTTCTCCTACTGAAAAATGATTGTTTTACCCTACATCCAGCTCCAGTTGCCCTTATCTGATAGTAACTTGGTTTCTCTATTTTGGTTCCTGAACTTCTGAACAGTTTTTTTTGTTTATGTGTTTTAGCACATAGAATAATCTATTAGAAAAATTAGCTAGAATAATTCTATTATTAGATCTCCTTTGTTTGAAAATGTTTATGTTCTATAGCAAGGTAATCCAAAGAATCTCACCAAATCTTGATCCCTTAGGTTATAATTATTATTCTTTAATTAGCACTTTAAATTATTATTTATCAGGAATATATGATATTCCACCTATAAAAACACATTAACTTTTACAACATCTTGTCTTAATCGTGCCATCTAATTCCATACGTCTTTCAAATTTGATTTTAATGTTATCGAGACCTAAGTCAGCAAATTGCATTACAAATATGTTCTTTTCAGTACATTTAGGAAAACGTTATAACTACTAGCAGAAATTAGATCAGTATCTGCAACTTTAAATCACCAAATTCCTATTCTTCTCCTTCAAATTCAATATTGAAAGAGAAAATCTAAATGCAAAAATAGTGGCCAGGTTCTTTAATTTATTATAAAAAATGTTAGTCCCTAAATATATAATCCAAATTTCTTCAATGGTGGTATTCATTTTCCACTAAAAATAGCCACTGTGAATACGGATCACAGTAAGGTATCAAATCTTAAATATACACAATTAATAAGTTAACATAGCAGCTCTATACACAGCCATTCCTACTACTCCTCAACTGCGATTCATCAACTATCATATGACTACAAACTTCTTAAAGACGGGACTGTATATTCCTCATGTCTGAATGCCAAGTCATCCAACACATAGAAAGCCCTCCATATTTAACTCAGTCATTATAATTTTTTCATCTTTCTTGCCTCACACACACAGTTATAACCAACTGCTGTTTCCTTCCAGAGTCATCTTTGAAGACAGTGGGATTAAAAGGAAACTCCATTAGCTCAATCATTTCCTACTCTTACAGAAATTAATTATATTCTTTGAACCTTATTCCTCTCATCTGAGCAGCAGGGGAAATAAAATCTGCTTCATGAAGTTTAATAAAACAGCAAAGTAGTGTTTGGGCAACAAAAGGATCTAGAGTTGCCTAAGATTGTGCTAATATTCATGACACAAATTTGGCAGAATTATTTTCTCCATGCTGCTTTTAAGCCTAGAATTAAATTTTTCTGTACCTTTCGCCAAACTGGTAGAACAGTATTTAAGACTGGGATTAATTGTAGACACAGAGTAAACTCTGACTAACATAGTATTTTTAAGCACAAGACGTATTTTAGTCAAGAGAGATGACCATAAAGTAATGAAAGAAGTTTTTTTGAATTGCCTCCTAAGGCAACTTGTAAAGAGTTTAATAATATTTGGGCAATGGCAAAAACCACTGAAATAGGGAAACAATCCCCTATAAATTATTTGAAAACCTACATTCATTTGGATGTTGTAAGTTATGGTACTTGTTGCTTAAAATACCATTCTCCACACTTTAGAGTTGAACTATGAGTAGACCTTAAAAGGAGTAGGTGGCGTTAAATTAAAAAGCATTTTCAAACCTTGTTCATCATAATCTTGGTATGTTACATCATCTGCAAAAGAGAGAATAAAATCAAAATCAGTATGTAATGAGTCATTCCATGAAACTACTTAGCTGAAAATCACAACTTAATCTCAAATACAGAATTCTTTTTCTTAAAAAATCAATGTCTATACAATCAGTGATAAATGCCTCTGCTTAAAAGCAGCAAGAGGAAAGGGTAGGTAAATTAGTCCCATAAAATTCCACAAACTGGCATAAAGCAAGTTATGCAAAAGTAGTGCTAGGAATTAATATCTGGTTCTCTTGCACAGTCAGTGGTAGATGAGGTACAATATGAAAGCCTGACATTTTTTACAAAATCTAATTTTACTGCAAAGCAAAATATCTTCTATTAGGTGTGAAAATTACTTCTTTGACTCCTTTGAAAGAAAAATCACCACAACAGAGAAATGCAACTTTCAAGCCTTAAGTGATATTTAAAATCTAATGAGATTGTTCATTTAATACCTGCGTGGTGGTACATTCTCTCATCATCTACTGCTGGTTCACTGGAATCTAAAAAAGAACAGAGAGACCCCTTTACTAGACATGAACAAACAAAACGTTATCACCAGACACCATTTTAAAAAATTTAAAGTTAATTCTGATCTTCACACTCATATACATAGAAACTGTCATTATCATTTAATAACATTTAAAATTACTAAGGTTTCATAATTTGCTAAATCAGAAAGACAGGAAGGAACAGAACTAGGAATTGCATCCAGTCTCACTCTATTATATACACTGTCTCACTGATTTCCAAATGTTCTCTCAAAGACAAAAACTCCTCTTTTGTACTTCATTTCTTCATGTAATATTAAACTATAATCAAATATTTCTGTAAATACCAGGAAACTAAAAATGACTGAATATTATAAAGAGATCTCTGTGCTGAATAAGAGTGAATCAATAAACCTAGGCAAAAATTTCCTTGCAACTGCTTCAAACAGAAAATCACAAACCTGGATTTTCCTGTTCATATATCATCTCTTCCATATCCTGATTATAGTCCTGTGCAGCTATAAATTAGGAAATAATTAACAAATTACAACATGTCTCAAATAAGGAGGTTTACACTTGATATTCAAAACAGGAAAGCACGATTTCTCGTAATGATGGGAGTATAAAATCAAATCATATGAGCACTCAAACTTTCATTTGCTCTTGGAACAAACCAGTACTAGCTGTACCAAATGCAAACTACAAGAATGAGTAAGACATTCCCCCCATCATCAGTGGGTTTAAAACTGAAACACAAAATTGTGACACTTATTCTCTTTTTATCTTATGCTAATTCAACTGTATTCAGCAAGACAAAAATGAGACAGAAACAGAGAGAGCGAACTGTACAGATAACCCCCCTCCTATTCACTCAACAAACACCTGCTACAGTGTGAGAGAGGACGTACACATTTCCCAATCTCTCACTTGTACTCAATACCTGAGTACCTCCAGACTGCAATGTAATTCTAGTGTTTACAGCTACATAGTATTGAAAAAATACAGAATCTAAATGCCAGCCAACAAAATCCCATAGCATGCAAGCACAGAAAGAGAGGGATCTATTCTAACACTGGAAGATAAACTGGACATAGGTTTCCGGAAAGATGATGTGTCTATCTCCAATGTGGTCATACTTCTAGAGATGGGTGACACGTGACAATACACAATTCTGACCTTTCAATGACTTGGTAATTTGTAACAAAACATACAAATCTACTGTATATTTTGATCTAGTGATCCCATACTGGGAATTTATCTTCAGGAAGTGGACTTCAATACCACATGAACTATAGTCATGAAAATATATACATATACAGGTAAATAATAACATATATACATATACAGTATATAATAACATAATTATTAGCTATATATTATATATATTTGATGCATTATAAAACATAACATTATTAATAAATAATCATAGAAAATGTTCTCTCGTGATGCTATTTTGTAGGAAAAGATACTTCAACTTGAAAAATAATTAAAATCTCACCTGTGTCTTCTGCATGATTACTATCTTCAGCTTCTGGAACAAAATTAAATCAGAATTACTACTTTCATAACTTGGTATGTATATACATAATCTGTTTATCCTGATTTTATTTTGAAAGCACAATTTAAAACGCAAAAATATTAAATAACTGCTAAATACTCTAATCCCCCACTAGAGCTATATTTAGAAGTGTCTGATGTATTTTCTTTTTCTTTTTTTTTTTTTAAAGATTTATTTATTTATTTATACAAGCACTGGGTACAGTCAGAAGCGCGGGAGGGTGAGAAAATTCACCAGAGCCAGAGCGGGGAGCAGAGCAGGCAGAAGGACCAAAGTACACTGCTGAGGGGAGCAGCGGGCGGCAGGAGAGGTCTGCGTGCCATGTGGGACCCTCCTCCGGTGGCCGGGGAGCAGCCGGGGATCGAACTGGCGCTGCAGAGGCTGCGGGCAGCTTCGCAACCCAGCGCTCAACTGCTGTGCCACCGGGGAGGCCCTGATGTATTTTCTTATTTGATCTACTCAATAACTCTAGACGATTGACAAACACCATGCCCTTGGCTAGAGAGATGGTGATTTATAAAGAGAAAAAGTCATAAAGGCTGAACTCAGCAAAGGTGAGTTTCTAGTTCAATCCCCATTCTACAATACTGTTTTGTTTTGAAGACATATTCTGCCCATTTTCTAGAACAGCAGAATGTTGTCTACAAATGGGAACAGATGTAAAAACCGAGGAGATTTTACAAGTCTGGGGAGCTGACAGGTAAATGTTTGCTATCTTCCCCACTCACATGACCCTTGTTAATTTAACAGCTTTAAGTATAAATATTTTTATTTTCTTTAGATTTTTTAAAATTCTTATTAGAATTTCTTTTATGTATTAATTAAAAATTAGGTCAGAAAATACGTTTTCTTGAATTAATGAACTATTTAAAATTTTTTTACTTATCCCTGCTCTAAGCCTCAAAAATATCAAATTCTGTATTTCCATTTATGTGTCTTAACAGAAATTTGTTGTATAAGCAACAGCATCCAAGATACCAAAATTATGAGCAACTGTCAAACTTCTTGAATCTTCATGGCCCAAAATGGGAAGGAACATCACAGATACCAGGGGAATGTGGAAATTATTTTATCATCATCCCTACTGAGAAATTAGAACTTTTTTCCCAATGGAAATCATGACATATATGTTAAGTCTCAAGTACTAAAGTTGTCTATAAATGCCTGTTTTCAAAGTACAATGCAACTGAAATCAGATACATGTTCAAAAGCATTTCAAAATTAATTTTCCACATAAAATTATACATTATATGTAATTCTATGGGTTGGCATGGACATCAAACCATAATTTAAAACATTATTTCTATGGAAATGTTTTTTCTACTTTAAACATTAGGAAGAGTATCAGCTTTTGAAAATATATTCTTTGTGGCTGGTGGTACCATGTTGTCACATGGGTCCTAGGGAAACTCAACCATAGACTCCAGTGATTATTAAATGACATGCAATAAGGTTAATTTTGTTTCGGTGCCATCAATTTTTCCCCCTAGTTTCAGTGTAGGTTTGTTTTCTTTTGTTACTATTTAGAAATAATTTATTTTAAGGAAACAATGTTTCATCAGTTCTCATTTTAAATAAAAATTATATCATTTATATATTTATATCTTTTGAACAAAATTACACAACACAGAGTATAAAACTTGTGGTTTAAAATCTTTTAGGAATTCATTTAGGTAAGGATGAAGAAGAAAGGACAGTGAATAGATTGCACAATAACAAAGCATGTGTATTTAGCAGGGCTTCAAAGAAGCATGGTAGCCTCACATCAAAACATGATAAAGCACAAAATATATGAAGAAGTTTACATCACAGAAATTATTCCTCAGTAAGTCAGCAGTGAATATTAACTTTTAACTATTATGATTTTACATGTTGTGTGTTATAACAACAATTACCTTTTACCAATGATTCTAACTTACCTACTACAATTGATATTTAAATAGCCAGCATTTTAAATATATTTTGTTCACTCTAGACACTCAGCACCTAGGGCTATGCTTAGGCATAGAAGTGCTCAATAAATATTTAATGACTGAATGAATTTATAATTATTAATATATTTCCCTTTTCAGTTATCACTAGATAGAGAAAAGATGTCAGCAAACTATGTTCCACAGTCCAGATCAAGCCTGACTCATGATTTTGTAAATATGGGAAATAGCCATGCTTACCCAATTAGGTGCTATACAAGGCTGCTTTTGCACTATGATAGCAGAGTTAAGTACTTGTGACAGAAGTGGCATGTATTGCTAAGCCTAAATTATTGAGCGTCTAGCCATTTACGAAAGTAGCTTGCCAATGCCTAGCATACAAAGCTAAGAATTATGTTCTACCTTAGTTATAGAGTTCATATTAGATAAACATCTGCCATATTTTATCTGTTATTTGCATTTCTTTTAAGAAATGACACTATAGAAAGGAGAAAGTACAGTAAATTTAATGAGCTGAAGTATTTTAAGAGCACTTCCTTTAAACTGTTTTTGTTTTTGTTCTTTTAAAGATTTATTTATTGATTTATACAAGAACCGGGGTACAGGCCAGATGTGTGCGAGGGTAAGAGTATTCACCAGAGACAGAGTGGGGAAAAGAACAGGCAGACTGATGAAATACACTGCTGAGGGGAGCAGCGGGCGAGACAGGAGAGGTCTGCTGTGCCATGTGGGACCCTTTCCAGCCGGACAGGATCGAACCGGCACTACAGAGGCTGGGGACAGCTTCACAGCGCGGCACTCAACCACCTGCACCACCAGGGGTGGCCCCTCCCTTAAACTGTTTTGAAATAGAATCACAATATCTATTTTTAGGAAAAAATAGTTAATTTGGGGAAAAAAAAAAAACACCTGTAGCCCAAAGTTAAATATGGTTTTGGAAAAATTTTAATAATTATAATTACAAATTTCCTATTGTACTTTATGTTGAAGCCATAGTATGTAGTTCTACCTTCATGAAATCTTCTAGCTTCCAAGGTCTCAAATCTATCCTCTATATTACTTCCTACAAGGAACTGGTCATCTGGTTGCAGATCTGCTGCTGGCCCATCCTCTTCTTGCTGCAGGCCTCCTTAAACAAAAATAATCAACAAAGTAGGGCTATAACCAAGGGCCCAGAGCCAACAGCCAACAGACACCTCAGCCCCTTTTGAGGGACCACCACAAAAACTCTCCTACTGCTGAGCTTCCCTGCCCCCCTCTGGCCTCTTCACACGTTGATGACCCCTCTGAAGCTCTCACTCTGGCCAAGTACCAGCGTACCAGCGTACACTCACCAAGGGCAGGAACCTCATTTATTTTGTTCACTCTAGACACTCAGCACCTAGGGCTATGCTTAGGCATAGAAGTGCTCAATAAATATTTAATGACTGAATGAATTTATAATTATTAATATATTTCTCTTCTCAATTATCACTAGATCAAAGTAAAGGTCACCATATGACATTTCATTGAGTATTAATATGAAATTCCACATTACAATCTTAAAGACTATATAAATTTTCTATTTTTTAAAGATTTTATTTTATTTATGCATACAAGTACTGGGGTACAGGCCCGAGGTGTGGGAGGGGGGTGAGAGGATTTACCAGAGATAGAGTGGGGAGCAGAACAGTAAGATCTACTGAAATACACTGCTGAGGGGAACAGCAGGCAAGACAGGAGAGGTCTGCTGCGCTCTGTGGGTCACCTCCCTGGCTGGGGATCAAACTTGTGCTGCAATGGTTGCAGATTGCTTCATAGTGCTGCGTCTTAACCACTGCGCGACCAGGGAGGCCCCTATAAATGTTCTAATGGGAAAAATAGCCGGACCTATCTGAACATTATGCTCAGTCATCTGCATTAGGTTACCATATCATACTTTGCATCTAAAGGTTCCTATATTTAGCCTTAAAGCTTTACAAAGATGCCCATTTTCTCTGTTATGATATATTGAACTGTCGTGCTTCTTTTGTGTAGATGTTGAACAGTATGACTTATCTTGTTATTGTGCTGTAAATAATTCTTCCAATAGTAAGTTGACATGGCTCTAAACAGACTATACCAGTAACACTCTAACAAAAGAACTCCAGTGAAGTGAATTTAGCTGGGCAGTGCAGCAGAATGATTAGGAGAATAAGGTCTGTTGTACTATTGTAAAGATTAAAGCACTTAGAAAGATGTCTAGCCCATAGTAAGTATTTAGGTGTTATTATCATTATCATTTCCATATTACTATTTCTACCACTATTGAACTCCCCCCAAAAGTGCAGGAAGGTCCCCATAGTTACTTTATTTTTAGGGTGGTATAGCGATGCTGTCAGATGTTACTGAATTATCATTGTAGCCTGCTATATTATTTCTCCTCATATTAGATTTTTAGCTAGTAAGCAAACCAATCATCACTTATAATTCCTGTCACTAATTTCATGATTCTTTTTCTCCTTACTATCAATATATTCCTTTTCCCTAACTCATTTTATCCAGTGCAGTTTTGTAGGTTTTACATGAGCAGCATTTAGATCTCTCAGTTCTTACTATTCACTGGAACATCCCTGTTTTCAACAGGAAAGCTAACCAGACTTTGTACACTACCTTTAGTCTCCTTTGTCAGTGACAGCCTGGGATGAAGAAAATAGTCTTCTGAAGGTTCACTGGACTGTTCGCATTATAAGCAACGTGCAGCCATTATACCAATCCTATTATGCAGGTATTATTACCCCACTTTGAAGGATAGGAATTCGAGAAACTTTTTAAAAGCCAACTAGCTAATCGATAACAGCTGCTGGACCTGAACCAGTAATGCAATACAGAATGATGGCGGAGAAAGACTGCTTTTGGTGTGGTGGCCAAGGAGGCCATGTTTGGTGTGATGAGATAAAGAAGAGAACACACACATGCCAGCAGAGGGTGTGAGTAGTGCAAAGGTCCCAAGGGCAGGATACGCTTGGCAATAAGGAAAGGAGAAGGCCAGTTGAGCTAAAGAAGAGTGACTAAAGGAGAAAGACATGGGAACAGAAAAAGCAAAGCTGGCCAGGCCATATCGAACATGGGGAGCAGAGCAACAAGAATGGAAACAGGGGGCCTCCCTGGTGGTGCAGGGGTTGAGCGCTGGATTGCAAAGCTGCCCGCAGCCTCTGCAGTGCCGGTTTGATCCCTGGCTGCTCCCCAGCCACTGGAGGAGGGTCCCACATGGCACGCAGACCTCTCCTGCCGCCTGCTGCTCCCCTCAGCAGTGTACTTCGGTCCTTCTGCCTGCTCTGCTCTCCGCTCTGGCTCTGGTGAATTCTCTCTCTCTCCGCGCTTCTGACTGTACCCAGTGCTTGTATAAATTAATTAAAAAAAAAAAAATCTTTAAAAAAAAAAATGGAAACGGGGACCCAAGTGGATATTACTGCAATGGTCACAGTAAGAGGCGATGGTAACAGCTGACACACTGCAGTCAAGATATATGTTGGAAGCAAAAATGGGGGGCCTGCTGATGCATCGTTATATGTGGGAGGAAAAGCAGAGAGAAATCGAAGGAACCTAGCAAAACCTAGGGAATCACGGAGAACTCCTAGGTTTCCACTTAAGCAATTAAGCAGACAAGACCACTAACCAAAATGAAAAGACTGGAATAAGAGTTAAAAAAAAAAAAATGTTGAGGGTGGGGCGGGTGGCAGAGCAATGAGATTGGAAGAAAATCAAGAGTTCTGTTCTATGTACATCTAAGTCTGAGATAGCTGGAAAACATGCAAATGGAAATAAACATACAGTTGAATAAACCAGAAGTGCAGATGAAGTGATGAAGTATCAGGGCTGCAGATATATGTGTTCAGAAGCAATATAAGTAAATGCAAAGCCATGATCTATATATAGGATTTCCTAAGGAGAAAGGCTCCATAGAGTGAACAAGCCCAATTTGAAGAAGTGTATGGCTTCACACTCAGCCTCCTAAATCTGTACCAAGCATATTCACTTCTCTCCTCTCCAACTTCTGGCTAAACTTACTTTGACTAATCACGTCAATTCATTTGGGTTACCAGTACCCCATGGCATCTGATCTCCCCACTCTACACTACCTTCAACTCATTTTTCACACTCACACAGAATGCATAGCAATCTGTAATGTCCTTCAATGGCTTCAAATACTCTTACAACATGTAAACAAACCCTTCCTTTCACACTCCCCGCCTATGTATTTTATGTGCCAGTCATCCTGAACTACTTTCACATCCTCTTTTGTTTCTGAACTTTCACATACACCATGGCCTCTGCTTAAGACGCTGTACTTAGGGCCTCCCTGGTGGCCTAGGGGTTAAGTCTCCCCTAAGGCCTGAGTTCGATCCCCAGCCAAGGATCTGACCCACATGGCACAGCAGACCTCTCCTATCTTGCCCGCTGCTCCCCTCAGCAGTGTATTTCAGTCAATCTGACTGTTCTGCTCCCCACTGCGTCTCTGGTGAATGCTCTCACAACCACCCCCAACCCCACACCTCTGACCTATACGCTAGCTCTTCTAAAAATTAAAAAAACAAAAAAACTGCACTTAATGACATTTGCCTGGCAAAGCTCTACATCATCTTTCAGCCCACTCAGAATCATTTTTCATTCAGAAATCAAAATGTCATTTCCTCCAGGAAATAACTGCTAACTTTTAAGTATGGTTAACCTTCACATAGCACTTACCTCATTATATAGACATCATAAATTTATTTAGACTACATCTTTCTTGTGTTAGGCTGAAATTTAGAAAAAGGACACAGGAAGAAGAAACCTGTACTTGCTCATACAGGAAAACATATACTCGGGTGAAGCAGCTTTCTTTGCTGAGGAGGCTAGAAATGAAAGAACACAGGTTCCTACACCTCTAGCAGACACTGTCTACAGCCTACGGCTCAGCCAATGCTGGGCTCTCCAACACAGGTAGAACTGGATGGGATGCTTGACACTTAACCCCAAACACCTAAGACTAAATAAAAGAACAATTTAAATTGTAGGGAAATGTTAGTTTTAAGAAGCATAATTTTTCTTTTAGAACTAGCTTTGGCTCACACCAAACTAGGAGTATCAGGACACTGTTCTGCCTCCATCACAAATTCCTTTGGGAGTTGCATTTTGGTGACATATTCTCTGCTTTTATCAAGGGATGCTTCCGGAAATAGTCTTATAAAATCTGAAAATACTGATTTCTTGAGTATCAATAATTAAGGTATAGACATTCACATAAGAAATTATTCAGACATAAGAGCTAGAAAAATGTTTTATAGTCTTTAAGTAGATAGCATGTTTCTTTCCTTCCTGGTAATATAATTCATGTTTCTCCTTTTTGTTTTGTCAAGCACCCAAGTATGTCATAAAATCTGAGAGTTGATATGATATAGCAGCTGGGTAGCACACCAAAGCTTGCTTGGTTGTGTTTTATTTTCCTCCTTCTTGTTCTCACCACCTATACTTTTTTTTTAAAATAGCATGATACTCTCTCTATATATATATATTTTTTGTGGGGCCCTCACCGACGGCCAGGGAATGAACCAGCGCTGCAGAGGCTACGGGCATCCTCGCAGCCCAGCGCTCAACCGCTGCGCCACCAGGGGTGGCCCTCACCACCTATTCTTGTTTATTTTCATAGATTCCTACCCATTTCTTTATTAGATGTGTACAATAAGTTCCTTATCGGGGCAAAATAGAGCAAATCTAGTGTTATTTCAGAAATACCTGTTCTCTAGTAACTTTGAATTAGTTTAAAAAAAAACCTTCAATTATGATTTTAATTTTTAAATAATGTCATTTTGTGTGGTTAACCATTATTTTAGTAGTGCATGACAAAATAGCAGATTTTAATTCATACCATGTTCTGTGTGTACTGTTTCATGGAGAAGGGACTCAATTTGTTCTTGTACTTCATCTTCAATATTCTGAGGTTCTAAAATAATTACAAAGCATAATTAAGTAGAAAAAGTCTAGACATCAATGTAGAACATAAGTCTAGCATCCATGTGTACACATTCACATCAACATATTTGGCTTACCAACTATGCATCTTTGTCATATCAGTTTACCACTTTATTCTATGTTTGCAAGTATGGTAGATATTTCAAATTGGTTTATACTGACAGCAGATATAAATGACAAAAAAATTCTCCACTAAGATTTAATAAAGAGGGAACTAATTCAGACTGAGATTTTTCTTTTAGGAAAAAAGCCTCCTTGGCAAAATTACTTCAGCATGAAATTCATATTAATGACAGAATAAAGTGGGAAGAGCAACACTTTCAGAAAGGAAGTACTGGGAAATAAAGATTAAAATGCGGTAGCCATGGTCAATGTACATTAATGTATTAGGTCACTGTCCTCCCTGGCATTCAGAAAAAAGGGCCCCTTGGCTATTCTAAGGGTAGGGATGGTTGGCATTGGCTGAACATTTCCACAAATTGTCAGGATGCATGAAGGGAAGACCTTACATTCTAACTGACAATACTTTTAGCTCGAAGAACCCCATCTTACAGTCAGCTCCACAGATTCAAATAGACGCAATTAGAAAAGTGAACAACATCGGTAATGACATTCTGACAACACATCAGGCTTATTACAACATCAAACAACAAGCAGTTACAATTATATTGACATGGTCATAAGTTTTCTAACAAACCGTCTATGTTTCATGTCATGAATTTTGTGATACTAAACAATGCCCAAGACATCAGTTATATTGACATAATAATCTTCAATGACAAAAACAGAATAGGTTAATTTGAACTTCAGGTAGGAAAACAGTTTAAGAATCTATTATGTTAATACTACAAAACAATTTCAAAGGCACAAAAAGTGCCTCTTATTTTTTTTAAATGTTTATTTTACAAACCATACACACACACATTCTAGTGTAATTATAGAGGATCATGTCAACCTTTTACTCTTCCCTCATATTTTCTCATAATGTGTGTGTTTTGTACCTGCTCACAGCACCGTGCACAGAATGTAATGTGAGTCAGAGTGGAGAGTGGTGCAGTCTGCCCTTTACTTAGTCGTTTAGTGGCTTCCTTTGCTTGAACAGGTGATTATCTCAGTCCCTCAGAAGAGAACACAAACCCTCCACAATCTAGCCTTCATATGCCTCTCCAGAATCATCTGCTATCAGCATTGGCTTTGAACTGCACCATAGTGACTGCACCATGTTAATTTCACTTTTTCATGATTTTGTGATGCTTCTCTTTCCCCAGGAGAGGGCTGGTAAGGGCAAAAATCTAGATTGTAATGACTTAAAGATGGAAATAAGACAAGAAAGCAATTATAGACTGTTTTTTCAAAAGTCTGGCTAGTGCAGCAAGAGGGACTGGATGTATCAAGTAAGGTATTATTTTGTTTTTTAATGGGAGGCATGTTCCTATGTTTATAGAACAGATGTGTAGTTAGAGAGAAAAGCTAAAGACCTAGATAAGAGAAAGGCTTGGAAAGAAACATTTACATTAATACAAATATTGCCAAGAAGTTATAAAAGGTTATGAGCTGATAATACACTAATGAAATAGGAGAATACATTATTGGTAATATACCAAAAGTAATATTAATAAAAACTTAAAAAGGAAGAGTGGAAGCAAATGAAAAATTTCAGAGTAGGAACTAGCTTTGAAAAACAAGTTTAAATTGCAATTTAGCACAAAGTAAAATCTGAGGTGCTTAATCAAATACACATTTGAATTACAAAGGTTTAGCAACAATCTCTCCTGTTATGGAATCATAGTATGATTATAGCAATCCTACAGGAATAGCAAGGAGAAATTCTTCTGAGATTATGGTTTGAACAAATTTTAAAAATTAGAACAACATACAATCTTAAAAGGAAGGAAAGAAAGTAATATTCATAAGGACATAATAATAAAGCAAGCCAAAGTACCATTTGAAACCAGGACTTAGTTGACAGCAAATATGTAGCGTAATACCTACCACTTCCACTAGGTGGCAAAAGAAACCAAATTTCTGAGAACTACTGAGTAAATTAAAATGTGTAGAAATTAAAGAGCACTTTGTAGTAAAAATCATAGCATTAAGTTCAAAATGACAGTAATGAGTTTAAGTTTACCCATTTATTAAGAGATTTCAGGGTTTTTCATTCTATGAGTCACGGAGACCTTAGGTAGAACTAGGATTCATGTAGAACTAAAACAGTCGTCAGAATAGATCACATGGAGGTTTGGAAGTCTTCTGGTGTAGAAAGGAGAGTCTCATATTAAAAAGACAGGAACCCAGTAGACCTACTCTATTCAATAATGTGTAAACAGTGGCAAGTCGAGTGCACAATGTGTATCTAATTTCACTTTCATTGTAAAATGGCACAGTAATCCTGGAACTGGAATCAAGAAACTGCATTAGGTCACAATGCTCCTAACTGTGATCACGGCAAGGAGGAGCCATCTGCCTTTAATTTATAGTCTCAAAAATTAAATTACTCTGTGTAAAATTTTACTAAGAAAACTTAAATTTACTCTAAAATTTCAGAAGGGCAGAAGAGAAAGTATTTCATTCTTCCGTAAATACTGTGAAGCTAATTATGAGAAAATATGGTTCTGAAAATTGCAAGAGGGGATACTGGGAGGCGGAGGTGCATCCGGCCAGTGCTAGAAGGAAGCTTACCTCTATTCTCCAGAACAGGCTCCTCCAACCATGGCTCAGCCTCTTCTGGTGGGACTTTTGGCTTTGAAGCAGCTCTTTCTTTAAGGCCTGCATTTTTTATTCACAAAGTAAACTTAAGTTTTTTTTCTTTTTGATATATTAAGCCAGGAAAAATAAAATTCTTAGACATTTCATTAACAGTGCAAGTAATTCAAATTTGCAAAACTATATACTTCATGAAAACATTGATAAACATTAAACACTGTATAACTTCATATGGGCCTTTAATAGTTCGTTACCTAAGTCAACTTCTCATTAAAAATTAAAACAAAAACAGATGTTTACAAATCTCTGAAATATTCATATCTGAGCTTGTCAAAGGAAATTCATTATGACTTCCCACTTCTCACATTTAAAAGACTACCTCCTAAGGCTTGAACTCTGAATTCAGTAATAAGATGACTAAGATGCACTTTAAATTTCTATTGTTACTTGTGTGTACTTCGTTCGTATTGTATTTATTCTTCTTGGGATTATAATTTTAAATGAGCATTAGTCACACGTAACTCATTATTTACACTTTTTTAAAGGTAACACTTATAATCATATTATCCATAAGCACCAAAAGATGGGGAAAAAAAAATTATGTTGTAGGGAAACAAAGACCTCTGGGTAAATGTACAAGAAAGCAGCCTTTAAAAGTCAAAATTAATTAAAATCTACTCTACTAAGTTAGTTACTAGATTTTATATGTAAGGCATTAAAATATATCCTCAATTTACTATAGCTATTTAGAAAGCTCAACTACTTCAAGAGAGTGTCAATTCCATTTGCCAAATCCTGGGCTCTTCACTACCCTATTAAGACTCCAATATCAAGAGTTGTTACTAAGGGATGTGTGTTGTGAATGTCAATAGCCTAGAGTAAATAGGTCAAGATTATAGAGTGTTTTTCTAATCCTCAGCTTCTTATACAAAACTTAACGTGCATATGATTATAGTTTGGGAAATTCTCTTGTACCTTCTTTGTGATTCTGTATATCTTTCCTTGTCATTCCCATCTGTATCGCTTCATTTTTCTCTCACTGACTAAAACATATGCCCACCTTTCTCTCATAAATTTAAAAAGGCTCTGAGACAGACGCAGATACACAAGACCCCACCTCATCATTTTATTTCCTCCAGTTACTTATTTCTGAGACTACTTACAAAAAATAATCTAACATTAAGAAAACAAACACCAACACAGACAGACAGTTGTGTTCTACTCCTAACTACAAAGTGATTGATTTCTAGCTCTAAAATAGATTCCCAGAGGAACATATATACAAACATCCACAAATCCCAGTTCAATTTTAGAGAGTGAGGAATAGAGATGAAGGTCGATTAAAACATATCACATTCCAAATAACAAATTCTGAGCTAAAAACTCCCACATCCTTTTGATTTAAGTAACCCATTCCTACATCTCCCAGCTGTTAAAGGAACAGGTATAGAACCATTAAAATTGCCAGGCTGCAAAAAAGAATAAGGTAAATCTTAAGACTCTTTACAATCAGTAATTTATCTTTGCATTGCCAACACCTTAGAAAACACCTGGCACACAGCAGGACTTATGGTCTGAACACACCCAGTGCTGTGACTACTACCTTAGTTTGAATGACTATAGATTCTCTGTAGCACCAAGTCTTCTTAGTTGTGCTGCAACAGCTTTGGGCTGTAACATGGGAAAAAACTTAACATCAGTTTCTCTACTACCATTTTCCAAAGAAATTCCTATCTGCCATTACAACACCACAGAACCAGTTTGCTGGGGACATTCCCAGTTTATGTCTGTTGTCCTGTATAATTATTTCATCCTCACAAAGTATCTCAATTTGGATAAGATATTACAGGGTCATTCTTCACTAATCTTACATGTAGCAGGTGCTCAAATTGTGTTCCATGGGTTCTATTAAGCAGTAAAATATTTTCCCACCAGACAATAAATGGTTAAAGTGCATGTAAACCTCCTTCTTAATGGATTTTGAGAAAACTTTCATTTGAAAAAAAAATTCTGTTGCAAAAAGTATTCAAAAACTACTATTGATAGTATGTCAAAATTCATACACAATATCCCTAATTGTCAATTTTCTCTACATCAGCTGGGAGTTATTTGTCTCTAAAACATGTGAAAACAGGAGAAAGCAAAAGTATGTAATGAGAAAATACTGAGCATTTTTCTGTCCAAAGTGGCATTTGGATTATGAATTTATTGATAACTAATCACAGATATTTTCCATAGGTAAAATCAGTTCAAATATGAAACAATATTGCAAACATCAAATGAGTTGAGGAAAAAAAGTTCTTAGACCTCTTAGAACTTTAAAATTTAACAAAAAAACTTTCTAGGCTAATTTATAACCCACATGGAAGAATTAGCCCAATAAACTTTCCTTCTGGTATTTTCCAAAAAAATTTTACTACTCATATCCAATTTAGTCTACAAATAAGTGTTCCTCAGAGAATAGAGGTACATCCATGTCTCATGTAAGATTTTAGGGGGAAAGGGAAGGAAATAAAACAAGCTAAATACATATATAGCCAAGTCACAATCAAAGGAAAAGCTTTCATACTGAACTTACTATGAGGTACAAGTGGCAAGGATTAAGCACTGAAAAGAATACTCAAAATTACATGATAACGTGATCATCTCAGTTTTGATGTTCTTGGCCTCATGTAATAAAACACCAACTCATACTGGACCCCGCCCCCCACCAAACCAAAAAAGGAATTGTGTTATTTACATTAGGAGGTGAGACACCTGGGTGGCTTGCTTTTAGCACTGGCTTTACCCTCATGCTGGTAATCAGGCTTTCCCAGATGCAAAATCCTCCTTCAGACAAGACACAAAAGGCCCACCTTTGATATGCTTCTTTCTTAGGCATCAGGAAATCTTTCCCAGATGCTCCCAAGTAGTGTTCCCTTTCAGTTTCAATAGTCAAAACTGGAAACCACTCCTATGCTAAACTGGCAAGAGTATAGGATGACCACAATTGTCGGAGAGTAATTATCTAGAGTTGAATGAAAATTTGAGTAAATCACATGACCCTACATTATTTGAAAAATAAATTAATACTCTTAAAACATACCTTAAAATAATTAAGTACATCAAGATAAATTAAGAAGTTTCAAAAAAACCACATTTGCATTTAATAAATGTTCCTTCAATTTTAAGTAAAATTGACAGACAACCTAAGTAAACGTGCTTTTATTCATTCGACAAATATTTACACCTTCTAAGGTAAGACGGTGTTCTACAGACATTGAACACATAAAACGCCAACTTCCCATAAGGAGCGAAGAATTTAAAAATTAAGAAACATGAAATACTTAGTGCAGCAGATGAGAAAAGATGGTATGGGGAAGGTGTGGGACAGGGTATGCCAGGCCAGCCTTTAGGGAAAGCATCACTGATGAGGAAGATATGGAGTAGCAAGTTCAGACTTCCTCAGCTGGGAGGCACTGAAAGGGAGGAAGAGGCAGGTGCCAGCAGTTAGACAAAGTGAACAAGGGCATGAGCGTCAGGAGGCCCTGGAGAAAAGATCATAGAGGCCTTTACTCTGAGTGAAAATAAAAGATTCACTTTTCAGAGTGATTTCATACAAAATGCTTCCCCCAAAAAATTTAAGAAAGTGAGAATTATAAATAGTATTTTGCTTTGTAGGATTTCATATACTTAGCCAATAAAGGCTAAGAAAATGGTTCTTTAATTAGCTGACTGATTTCTAGTTTACTCGTTCAGTGGTATACAGAATAATGAAAATTTTATCTTTGCAGGTTTCTCCAGCTGCTGTTATTCATGTAGGAGATGTGCTCAGGACTGCTACTGCTTCTAATGCAAATCACCTAACAGTATAACTCAATGTGACCCAAGAATAACCCTAACAGGTACCTGGCACTTGGGAAGTATTCTGCCAATCAAGAAACCAGAAAGGCACACATATGCTAACTGGGCACACTAATCCTCATGTTGTTCTTGGGTTGTGTGCAGACCTTAGCAGGTACCCCAATAGCAGCTCTATGACTTATCAAAATTCTGAGACTGCCAGTAACTTAATGAGCTGCTCCATGATGTCATAATAGAGCCATTCCAGACTCAACGCGTCGTCAAATGACCAATGATGGACAGATTTCGGGAAGAGCACGACATAAATCTCCAAAGAATTAAACATTCTCAAAAAGGTTTCAAGACCAGTGACATGACTCCACAAAGACTGGAATGGAGTACATTCACTTTACTATCCTGTAACATGAAATGGTGTGGAGATGCCAGCACTTGAACCAAGGCTGCTTTGAATTACATTCAAATCCTACCTCAACTCATTACCACTGCTACAAATTTGTTTTCCGCAAGTATGAAAAGGGGATAAACTGTACCACCTTAGAAGGGTTTTAAGAATTAAATTAGGTAATTGAAACACAGAAAATATAATTTTTCCACCAATTTATTTTTTGCCTTTACATCTACATAAGAAACAAATTATTCTACAGTCTCAGAATTTATTACTGGCAGGCTCAGTATTTTGATGAGTCATAGAGCTGCTATTGGGATACTTGCTAAGGTCTGCGCACAACCCAGCATATACATATACATATGCATATACATATACATATACACAGCAACATGAGCATAGCTACAGACAACTTCCAAGGTGGTTAAAACATACTATTACTGAAGGAACATCTAAGTTTTTATTTAAAATATTTTTCTTCAAATATTTTACAGTATATACAGATCTAAAATATTTTTAAGTGATCTGTGTTTTCTATTTTCACTTTTCAATAAACATACATTGAATACCAATTACTGCCAATTACTGTGACAGGTACTGGACATAAGTCATAGTCTGGTAGCAAATCAAAGTTCAGGAATGAAGCAAAGTGATGAGCATGACAACTGGAAGGCAGGACAAGAGTGCAGAGATGACTAGCTGGACCCTGCAGGAGACAGAGAGGTGGCCAGCCACACACAGTGGGAGAGCATTCTAGGCAAGGGAGGGAGTGGGCAGTAGTACCAACAGATACTAAGATCTGTTGAGTGAATTAATAAATACAAACTAGAAATGACATAAGTAACAATTATATTTATATAATTATTGAAGTTGGCACAAAAGTTTTAATTACATGTTTTTGCGTCTTAGGAAAAAGTAATGCTTGATGGGAAGAAGCATGTCTGATGTACATATGCCAACAGTGATTAACACATACATAAAGTGAAATGAGAACAAAAGAAAATAGATGACTTTCTGCTCTGTGGAACTTACAAAATCTAACCTTTGGTGGAAACTGATTTCTATAAAAATGATATCCAAGCCAGTGATAAGCATCCAGTTCATGGAGTTTTACCTTTAGCCAAATGGTAGGATGAAACTGAAGATTGTTACTGAGGAATTTTTCAGATTACCCCAATAAAAGATTTTCATGAAAATAGCCCTTCAGCCCTTCATGTAATGCTGACATTTCAGTTTCCTAACAACAAAAACTTTCTCAAGGGAAAACTGAAAGAGCTAACAAAATAAACTTAAGTCACCTGTAACCACAGTACTTACATGACAATAGACTTACACACTTCATCAATTGTCTAGTTATTGCTGACCAAGGCTTGAGGAGGTATCTCTAGTGCCCCTGGCTTCTATCTCTACAATGCCCCTTTTGGATTATCCCCTTCAACTCCTCACATTTGGGCAATGGCAGGAGTAAAGAGGTGAACACAAAATGCCTGCATCTGGTGCAGATGAAACGTAGTGTGTAAAATTCACTGTGGCCTGCCCTGTACCTATTCCCCTTAAAAGAAAAGCACACTAATTCCCTGAAGAGCAACTGATTTTCCTTCATCCCACAGTGCAGGGATGGCACTCACATGCCCCAGGTTTTGTCAATCACAGCTCTGGTAACCCCACTTCCCCACTCCATGAGAATTAGAGTGGAACATGAGCATCTGTGCCTAATGTAAGCAGGCTGCCTGAGAAAGAAACCAGCACTCAGAGACAGTTCAGACATGGAGAGGTCCAGACAAGGAAGCACCTAGATTCAGCACAAGAGGGGCCAAAAAACATAGCCACCCCTGGACCTTAAAGTCGCATGACCTAACCCATGTTTTTACTTCACATAAATAATTTGAATGGATTCACACATGTACATAAAAGAATTCTGGAGAATACTTAGACATAAAACTAAATATGTTCCTATATTCTGAGGAAGAATAATAAAGGCTTTTTCCACAGAAACAGATCCACTGAAACATATGAAGAACTGGATATTAGGGATCAAACAGGTTTTTATGGACTGACATAGGAAACCTCTGAAGATTATAAAATGGATTCAATGGAAAAAAGCATGTTCTGAGTATAAAACAAGTTTTTCACATTTAGGTTAACGGTTAAAATTTTCAATTATACCATTATTTTTAAGTCTACTTAAGTAGTTCATTACTTGCTAATTTTTTCTAACTTTTACATTTCATATCTTGTGGTTTCATGTTGTAGCTATACTTTAAATAACTAAACATTCTTATAGCTTTACATTCATGTACCATTTATAATTACCTTTATTTGCCCTCTCAATTACCACAGTAGAACAAATAAGAATCCTGCATACCCATTTCAAAATATGCATTAGTTTCAAAAGACAAAGGAGTAATGTATTTGTTTTAAAATCTGCTGACAAAGAGTAGGAATTATAGCCCCAGTGCATCCAAATTTTAGCAACTGACTGAAAACACCTTGGTGGATTTATGACCATTGTTCTACTAAAGGAAAGGGAAACACCAGAGCCAACAATGTGTCAGCTGCTTCTGTGTATCAGAACCAAGCTGGTTTTCACAATCACCTTGAGGGAAAGGTATTATCTTCCTTTGAAGGGCATCTTTACAAATGAGAAAAGTGAGCATATTTTCCAGATGCATTTTATGGTAAAACAGTCCAAGTAATCAATGGGCACTAGCAGGGAAAGTAGGAGAGGACACAAGAGAAAAGAATCAAAGATAGGAGATATAACCTAAGCCACCAGACCTATGTCAGAAAAACTTAAAACATTTAAAATTAAGCAGCACACTTGTTTACTGTGTTCTTTAATGGAAGTATCTAGAGGAAGTCCTTTACCCAAGCACTCATGAAAACCTCTCAAGTCACAAAGTTCTATCACTAAGCAGGCCATGACACCATAAAATAGTCTCCATGAACCAATCATTTATAAAATTAATCCTCCTAGACTGATGTAAGTGTTTCTGCTGACTGATTTATGTTTAACAATTCCTTCACATTGTGTGCAAAATACTGAGGGGCATCTATACAGCAATGCAAATCACCCATAAAGTAAAACTAAAAATCCTTATAAAAAGATTTTAGAGCCACCAACATAGAAATTACACAAGACAACAAAAGAAGAATGACAATCAGTGATGTTAAAGTTCTTCAAAAGAAAGGACCCTAAATTAAAAAAGAAAAAGAGGGCCCCCCTGGTGGCACAAAGGGTTAAGACACAACCTAACCTATCGAGCTGTCTACAGCCTCTGCAGCATCAGTTCGATCCCAGGTCAACCAGGGAGCTGCCCACATAGCACAGCAGACCTTTGCTGACTCGCCCACTGCTCCCCTCAGCAGTGTATTTCAGTCAATCTGCCTGTTCTGATCCCCACTCTGTCTCTGGTGAACCCTCTCACCCCCGTACCTCTGGCCTGTACCCCAGCTCTTGTATGCATAAATAAATCAATCTTTTTTTTTTTGAGTCTGCCTTTTTTCTTTTTTTTTTTAAAGATTTATTTATTTTTATTTATACAAGCACTGGGTACAGTCAGAAGCGCGGGAGGGTGAGAAAATTCACCAGAGCCAGAGCCAGGAGCAGAGCAGGCAGAAGGACCGAAGTACACTGCTGAGGGGAGCAGCGGGCCGCAGGGGAGGTCAGCACGCCATGTGGGACCCTCCTCGGTGGGTGGCCGGGGAGCAGCCAGGGATCAGCCAGGGATCAAACGGGCCCTGCAGAGGCTGCGGGCAGCTTCGCAACCCAGCACTCAACCGCTGCGCCACCAGGGAGGCCCAATAAATCTTTTTAAAAAAAGAAAAAGAAAGTGATCTGAGATTTGAATATAAGATAAAAAGGATTCTTGAAAAAAAAAATCAATAGGCTCTCAAATATTTTTTGCAAAATTGCCCAAACTGTGCTATTCACATATGACACATTATTCATAGAAAGCTAAGAAAAAACTATGTCAATAATATTTTTTTTAGAATTCTAAGTGTTATCTCACAGTGCAATTGGAAAAAAAATGTTAGTGATATAGCAAAATAAACTTACATTCAGCTTTTAATTTTCACTTTTCAGGAGTCCACATTCTAACCAAATAATTCCTATTACAAAATTTCTGACGCAGTGACTTATTTAAAAAGGCTGACATTTCCGGTTTTAATTATCCTTAGATAACAATATGAAACAATATAAAAACAACTACACAGTAAGTAAAAAAGTAAAACTTAGAATACAAACATAACCATAATCCACTAATCACAACCAAAAGTTTGTCTTGCACTAAATTTTTTAGTTGAATGTAAGTGTCGATGCAAACAGATAAAGTGTAACCTCAACATCGACAAGAGGTCAGTTGAAGCTTTCACTGAAGAAATACGGAAACAACAAAACTACCCATTTTCAGTTCACAACAGCTCTTGAAATATTTCTAAATGTTTTAGTAAAAATATTGGGTTGTCAGAAAAGTCACATTTTTTTCTTCTATGTTTTTTTCAAGCAAAAACGCATCATGACTTTTCCAGCAATCCAATAATTCACTTCTTGAGCTGCAATCAGGATTAAAAAAACCTCAGTGATAGTACTTACATGTTTCTAAGTGCTTTATTAAATAACAGCAAATGTTTGTACACCATGCTGGGTATTCTAAAATATTTTTTACTCTTTTTCTCAGAATGCAGAATTTATACTTCAGCGCAACTGTCCTTCAAAAACCAAGGTAAAAACCAGAATACCTTCAGTAAATGTAATTGTAGTTCTATGCCCTTCTGCATGGTAGGGGAAACAAGTCATCTGCAGAGAAATTGACACTTAAAATTTGGTACATAAATTTTTAAAAATCAATTCATTTATCTTAGCAAGAAAATCTGACTTCAGGATATATTTTTAAAATCTTGTAATGTTCATGTGTGGTAGATATATCTGTTTAGCTTCTTGTTCTGTCCAGTTCTGTCAGAGCTCCATCTTCTCCCAGAAGGTCTGCTTCCTGAAGTAAATATTTCACATGGGGCCTCCCTGGTGGCGTAGGGGGTTGAGTGCAGCACTGTGAAGCTGTCCGCAGCCTCTGCAGTGCTGGTTCGATCCCCGCCAGATGCAGAGCAACCCACATGGCGCAGTAGACCTCTCCTGTCTTGCCCGCTGCTCCTCTCAGCAGTGTATTTCAGTCAGTCTGCCTGTTCTGTTCCCCACTCTGTCTTTATTGGGTACTCTTACCCTCCCGCACATCTGGCCTGTACCCCAGTTCTTGTATAAATAATCTTTAAAAAAAAATTTGACATGGTTTACATGAGACCCACTCAAGCCCCATTCAAAGTTTGGTACACAGGAACCAGCCTAGGGAAGACTAACCCACCTGAAATTACAGGAAAGTTCAATCACCAAATCAAACAAGGTCAGTGGAAATTCTCCCAGAAAAATGCTTCTTTGCACACAGATTACTAAAACAGAAGGATGCATTGGTGTGGGGCCGCTCAGAGCCATCTTCTTCACCAGTGGCTTCCATATAGAAAAGTCAAATAGAAATCAGCAGAGGCAAGATTTGAGAAGAGAGTTAGGAGAAACATTCCAGATCTGATCTGTAGTTGGAATCTATTCACCTTAAGCCTGTGCTCCTGTATCAGTCAACCCAAATAAGCCATAAATTACCTTTATCACATTAAAAAAAAAATCCTTACTAGTCAGCATAAAAAATCCCAATTTAACAACGCACAAATTCTTTGGGTCTCAGCTTTTAAATAAAATAATAGGACAGAATTAGAGATATTAGATTAGATATTCCCAATAATTTCCTCTTTGCTATAAAATTCTATTACATTAGTTGGAAGTTTTGTCAACTAAATGTCTATTTGATCATAAACAATAAAGGATGCTAGTAAGTAAAAGGTACATAATTCTTTTAAAATATTTACACTTAATGTTTATTCATTTCTGATTTGAAATATCTTTAATTAGGCAAAAATCTGTTTTTAAGCACTTCAGCTAAAAGCTGAGAAATTACATTAAAAAAATAACACCTTTCAGATAGCACCTTTGATTCTGTTATAAATCAGCTTGCTCTTCTCAAACTCAATAAAAGCCCTGCCCAGCAGTCATAGAGATTTAAAACTTTATGCACAGAATAGTACACTTTGTAGGAAACTTCATTTTATTAAATGTTTTCTGATGAACTAAATTCTTCTCTCTAGTGAGATCTCAAATTTGCGACAATTATGACACAATGAAATATGAAAAATATATGCCATTAAACCAAAAGAATTGGAAAAAACTGCGTAATATAAAACAAAGGTATACCCTAAATTTGATAAAACCTTTTTATAACTTGAGTCTGTAAAGACATCATAAATAAAAGTGCTCTAAAATTGTTGTAAATAAAATTCTTTTATTCATGACTATTACCCAGAGTCCTCAGAACACATCTGGCACACAGTTAACAGTAGGTCCTGAGTGAATGAGAGAAGGGGGAAGGATGATACAGGAGAGGTAAGGCGTGAGGAAGCATGGGAGAGTGAGGAGGCAGGGAAAGGAGGCAGGGAAAGGCTGTGAGGAGAAATTCCAAAAGAGATGAGAAGAGCCTGAGAGTGGTTGGGCCCTGACAGCGGGAGGCGCAGGAACTAGATTTGCCCAGGGAGGAATGCACACAGGAGCTGAGGCAGGGAAAAGAGAGGAGGGGATGACAGGTGCTGGGAAAGGGGAGTGGAAGTGGAGAAAAGACAGGGCAGGTTAAACAAGGAAGCAAAAAAAGAGGAGGAAAGAAAATCAAGAGTAAACAGATCCTGAGTATCATACCTGAAAGCTGTGAGTCACTGTGCATGTAAATACTATTTAAAATCTTCAGATTCTTATTTAACTCTACTGAAAATAGTCACTGCATTAAGAGATTCATTATAATTTGTATTATACAAATACATGTGTCTGGATATGCAATCAACAAATAAAAATAGAAATTATTACATCACATTTTCATGACATTTTTTAAAGCCTCATCTGTAACTTAGAAACATGAGACAATGTATTTAAGTTTCAAATGACTTCCTTGCTGAGCACCAGTAAATACATGAATGGCAAATTGACACATCTTCTCCAACCAGAGCAATATTTAATTTTCCATGTCCTTTAGCAGCAAGTCATGATAAAGAATATTACCATTTCCTGGGATGATGGTGTTAAAGCTTTAGTTCTTTCTCTTCTGGTTATTTCCCTTTGCTAAGTGGGGTTGTTTTGTAGAACTTCTACTTTCCTTTCTGTCCTCTTTGTCTCCAGAAGTCATTTTACTAGAAAGGTCCTTTGTATTTGGCTTTTTCCTATTTTCCTTGGTTTTAGCACCTTTATCTAGGCCCACTTTTTCCTTTTCTTTGTCCTTTTTACCCTTAGGAGATTCTTTCCTGGATATATCTGAATCAACAATTTTCTTATCCTTCCGGTTATCCTCTTTTTCTTTCTTCCCCTTTTTCCTCTCTTCATTCTTACTCTCCTTCCTTGACTCAGGTTTCTCTTTTACTTTCTTGAGTTCTTCTTTAGTAAGTTCTTTAACTTTCAGGTTTTTCAATCAAAGGAAAAGACGTTTATTGAAAGCAGCTCTTAATTTATTGAACAGCAACCTAGTACAAAGCTATAAGCTATTTATATCTCCCCACACAGAAGAAACGCTCATTCAGAAAGTAACTTTAAGCGGCTTAGTTTTTAACTGACTAAAGAGCTATATAAAGCATCAGCTTTAGAAGAAATGATAGAAACCTGCCATTTTCCCATCTAGAAATAATGTATGATTTGTCTTTAAAATAAGCATGCAATATTATTAATTTATCCTCATAAAGGCAATATATTACACAAAATGTTAGTTAGCAACACACATTTCACACTAACCATCTGATTAAAGGATATTCTGGCAACATCGAAACTTTCTCATAAAGAAGGAAACAATTTCCATATGAGTAAGAAATTCTCATTTTATTTAAAATGACAAGCAGATTTTCTTTCTATTAGCATTCAGCATTATTAAAGCAGCAGTCCTCAAAGTATATCCCCTGGTAATTTATGTAGAGTCACTCAAGCCAATATATATTGTCCATGCTTACAGGGAAAAAAAGCAATTAAATGAAATGTACATGTAAATCTAAATCTACTCTCAACAACTTTACATAAAATTTAATAGAGCTGCTAGCAAAAACTCTTAATTTTATCCTCTTGCTCTCTCATTAGGAAATCATAAGAGAAGCAAAGTGGTTACTGTATAATGTAGCATTTACTCAGAAACACAGAAAATGTAAGATTTCTTTAATATGTGTAAGATGTTTGCCCACAGAAATCATATAGCATAAAACATTTATTTCTTCCTGAAAACCTTGTTAAAATGTAAAACTATAGTGGAATGCTTGTGTGTGTGATGCTGTCAGGTCTAAAATTTACTAAATTTTTATCTCTAGATCATGAAGAAAATTGTACTTGTGATTTATTTCATAATTATATATATATATAATAAAAAATAGTGAAAATTCTGTTTTCTTTCCATGAGATACAAAGTTAAAACATTAAAATATTCTAATCTTAAAATACAAACCATAAAACCTTGCAAACCACATACTGATGGTCTCAATCTGTTAATGTTTCACCAAAATACAAATAAACAACTACACTATGATATGCCAAGCACTTGAACAAAAAAGAATATTACAAGTTTATAAAGAAAAACATGCACTTCCCCCATGCCCCTCTCCCCTAAAGGATATAAACATTTATATGTGAACAAGAACAAGCATAGGGTTAGCAAATACAGTGTAATAATAAGCTATAAGTCTACTGCTTGGTTGACAAGTACAGAAAAAGAACATACTATACTAATTTAATATTAAATCAATTGAATGTTAAATTATTTAATATTAAGTTTTTCTATTTTTAAGAGAATATAAAATTTAAAGAATGCAAAATTCATTTAATATTATTTAATATTGAATATTACTATCTTTAAAGAATTAAAATATCAAACAGCAAATTCCATGCCAACATAACATAGTACAGCAGATTATAAATCTAAGTTTTCATTTTATTGAAAAGTACAAGTTGGATGACACAAGTTTTTATGGTGCTTAAAGTCAACATCATCTGAGATTTAGACAAATGAAATCTATCACTGATGAATTATCTGTTTTTCCGACACTAATAACAAAATTCAAACTGAAAAGGGTTTTAGGTAGAAAATAGGATACAATTGTGTAAATTTACATATCATGATATTGTTATTATGTATGTTCTTAATTCAAAAACTTACAGGTGTTGATGGCATAGAAATTATTTAAAACTATTGGCTTGAGGCAAAATTTTTTAATGAAATCTTGATAAAACTACTTATGACCAAAGGTGCACCCCAAACCAAAAAAGCAATAATGTTTAGCATTAGTAGCTGCATTTATAACATAACATATCTAGGAACTATCATGCATTTTGAAGTGTTAAATTCGGTTTGCTCAAGGCCAATTTGAAAAAATAGAAAATACCTTTAGCCTTAGTTTTTCTCTTGGCTACCCCACCAGGTCCTTCTGTTGGTATTTACAAGATGAAAATAGGTTATAAAGAGAAAATATCAAGGGAATTAAAAAAAATTAAAAATGGCTACAAATCAATACCTCTATTAAACAAATTAAGTTATTTAAAGTCACCTTTTAAAAAGTAGTCTTTTACCATATGAATACCAGGTGTATGTCATTTTTTTAAACTGTATTTTCA